AAATATGAGTGAGCACCAAGCAACAACCCTAGGTTCTCCCCTGAGAACCAGACCAAACATTTTATGTGCAACCCTGATTATGACCACAAAACTATAGTAGATGTTAGCAGCTCTAACTGATATGAAACACTTATATCTTGATATATATTTTAAGTCATATCTCCCAGCCCTATTACTCACACAGCAGTCAGTCCAGTAGATGTGYAGGAAGGGAAAGGTGAGCAGAGCCTTGTTGCCCTCCTTGGGGAGGAGGTCCTCTTTAAACTGGACAAAATTAGCTTCAAGGTGGATCATTTTCGGTGCACGGCCATAAGTCCTGCACAAAAGACYAATGTTAACAGCATTACTGAAATGTTTATTAAACAGCATTATTTTTTCCTCATAACAAATTTGTTCAGTAATAATTCATATGATTTCAGGCTTTTATTGGATCAGCAACCAAAATATATTCTGTAGAGGTTTAACTAAGATTTTGCTCACAGCTAACATTTATTAACTGACTAATGCTACCTTTTTTCTGAATTCTTATTGAAGAGAATAAAGTGATTAAATATTTATCTTTTCTTTGTTCAGCTTTGAAATTTGAACCCTAGTCAAATTAAAGACTAAAGACTGGTGTTGCAGCTTTTATTTCCATACAGGATTATTGAAAAGGTCGTTTTAAACTGGTCTCTGAGTTCATATTAAAAAACAAACTGGATTTAGAAGTGGCCACTTCACTGAGACCGTTTTAAATTCCCAAAGCAAACAAGAGCTACAGCTCAGCCCTAAAATCTCTTTTTACTTGACCTCAATGCAGCCTTTAACACAACAGATGATCCCATGGTCTACTTCACTCAGTGGTTTCCTGTAAAGTGACAACAAGGTTAAAACTTTATTTCATCACATCTCCACAACGTTGTCTCACAGTTTGGTGCTTTGAAGATGATTCACAACTTTTTCCATCATTTCCCTCAGGTGACCCCACAGTCACATCAATTTTCAGCTCATCTCTGATAAACCCACTTGATTTAGAGAAAAGCTCCTTCCTTTTTTAAGATTTCAACTTATTTTACATCTCTGAGCCTGTAGGACATAAAATAATAA